ATGAATTTCATTAAATAGTTAGTAGAATGAACCATGAAGCTATTAACAATGTTCTTTGCTGAGTTCCAAGCCCTGGTTCTTCACATAGCCTCTCCTCAATCCATCACCCACGCAGATCACCTCACTATTCTGTGTGGGATAGGAAGGCAGTAAAAATTGGTAGTTACAAAATAGTCACAGAAATGTAAAGTACAGCATACAAAATGTAGTCAATAATATTGTAATAATTACATGCCGTGCCAGGAACACAAATGAATACATGCGTGCTCCAGCCCACTGCCACCAGGGAAAGGGTCTGCTGGGGTCGTGGAGCAAGTGGCCGGCCTGCCCTTCCCGCAGCACCATCTCGACCCCGGGGCAGCCCTCCACCCTCGGTGCCTCACAGCAATTCTGGACGTGTACCCTGGGCGCGGTCCGCACTCCTGGTGTGTGACCTTTCTGGCATCTGGTTTGGACGTCTGGGTTTGACAAGGGCTCCAGGCAGGTCTTCCACTGCTGCTGCGCCTTGGGTATTCCTGTTCTGCTCTCAACCCTGCAGCAGCCATGGCTTCTCTGCCTGGTGCCTGCTGTGCCCTTGCATGCACGGCATTGCCTCAGTCCAGAGACTCATGAAGAGCCTCCGTACAGACTTCAGGCGTCCCCGGTGCTGCAGAGCTCCTTTCTCACGTGCCTGCCCTGCACATTCCAGGCCCTCCTCAGACCGAGGGTCTGAGGCAGAGGGCCACAGCCATGGCGGGGCCCACCTGGGTGCTGGTGCAATCTGGGCTGCTGACTCCAATGAGGAAAGCAGTGACTTCAGCTCCTTGGTCCCACTCTGTAGCGGCGGGTGATGGGAGGGCCGGCCACTCTGTAAGAGGTGGAGGCCAAAGTCCAGCTCTCCTCTTTGGAGCCACGGCCACCTGGCATCTTCTCTCCAGGGTAGACATCCCATCCTCCCTTGGCTTTGCTTTGTGACTCTAGTTAGCGCCCCTTTGTCATGCTGGTCACTGTCTTCCAGGAAACGGTTTTTCTTCCGATTCCTTCTGAAATGTGCCTGAGGCAGGACGTGACGCTTTAGGTCGGGTTCAACCAGAGTCGAGGAGGGGGGGACAATGCTCTTCCGCCTTGCTTATGGCCTGTACTCCCAAGGGTTACAGGGGTGCCAAGGCCCAGGCGAGGGCTCAGAGGATTCCGAGTGTTTGATATTCTCATGCTCATCACCTTACCAGGTCTTGGGGTTCCGCACTTTCTCTGTGAGACCCACGCATGGGTTTGGAGACCTGGGGATGCTGTGCCTGCTTTCTCTATGCCACCAGGTCCTCTCCCCTCACCCCAAGTCAGCACACACCCCTGATTTCACAAATGTGGGGAAACCCGGGATTCCGATGTCACAAACAGGCCATACGTCCACGACTCTGATAGCTATTCCTCACTGGGAAGATGAAGTAGTGCATCCCAGTCACCCTAGAAATTAGATTGTCACCTGGAGCACAAGGTTGTGCTCTCCTTTCTGTGGCACCTGAAATTTATCCTAAGCCCCATCCACTTGCTCTACCGGCTCACACCACTGAATTAGCGAGCGAGCGAGCGAATGAAAGCGTGAAGTAGAGAAGAAAAGAGCAGCGTGTCAAGATAGACGTGGCTTGATGAGAAAGCTGATGTTCAGTGACACATCTGAGTGAGTGAGAGAGACACGGTGTTACAGCAGAACCAAAGTGTGTTGTTCCGGGGTACAAGGCACACATAGGACACGGAGGTGGTGTGTTTCCGAGTACTTCCCGTGGCCATGACGGCATCATGCGGATTGGCCTGGGCAGCACGCCCGGGAGCCTTGCTGTCTCTGAGGCAGTGTCCAAAAACATTCTGTTGGGCCTGAAGCTTCTGCAACCTGGAAGGCCCTCTTCTAAAGTTATAACAACGGGCATGAAAGCGAAGCGTTATTTAGAATGAGAAGAAAATTCATAATGCACTTTAAAAGGTGACAACTAAACCACCAAAATTCCACAACGTGTACACATTAGGTATACACGTGTACCTACACGTGTATGTAGTTCAGGCATTCCAACTCCGCAGTTGTACATTGTGCGGTAGGGTGAAGCAGGGGCTCTAGGTGAGAGATACAGTGGTTTCGCGGTGAGTCAGAACAGCTCACTCTTGGGAGTTCCCCCCCCCCAAAAAAAGATTACATTGCCATGCAAACACATAACATGGGCCCATGAGTGACAGTTGACCTCCCCTAAGAATATAAATGCACTCAGGTTCGTGTTAAACTTTTACTGTTTTTTTTGTTTCATGACAGATTTTTTAGAAGTAAAACAGATTTCTAAATTAAAAAGGAACTCTGCTCCTTTCACCAGGCCCCCGGCTTGGGGTACCGTCCTTACCCTGGCGGGACACCTGGCTTCCGAGTTGGCCTTCTCACCCCGACCAGGCGGTGGAGGCGATGGGCCAGGAGGGCCGGAGCCAGGCTGGGTTGGCTCTCGGACCTGGCTGAGCTTTCAGGGTCCTCCTGGCGGGTTGGGACTCGGCCGGGGCTTGGCCCTGGGGCGCAAATGTGGGGGGTTTCCCCATGCCCTCCGCCTGAGGAGTTCTGTTGGCAGGTGGGGGGGGATGGCCTACCGTGGACCTCAGGCTGGAGTGGGGCTGGCGCCCCAAGGTAGCCTGGAGAACCCCCATCCCGAGGTCGGGGCGGGAGCCAGGGTGGAGAGCAACTCCGAGGGGGCCTCCCCCAAGCCCCGCGCTGCCCCTCCCGGGGTTGTGAAGCTGGACGGAGAAGCTGGAGCCACCCCCGAGGAGGAGGCGAGTGAGGACAGGAGAGCTCTGCAGAAAGACCTCGAGCAATTTGCCAAGCTCCTAAAGCAGAAGAGGCTGGCCCTGGGCTATACCCAGGCCGATGTGGGGCTCCCCGAGAGCGTTCTCTTCGGGAAGGTGTTCAGTCAAACGACCATCTGCCGCTTTGAGGCTCTGCAGCTCGGTTTGGAGAACGTGTGCAAGCTGCGGCCCCTGCTGCAGAAGTGAGTGCAGGAAGCCGACAACAGTGAGAATCTGCAGGAGATATGCAAAGCAGAGACCCTTGTGCAGACCCGGAAGAGATCGCCAACGGTGAGCCGAGCCGAGTGGAGGGCAACCTGGAGAACACGACCCTGCAGTGCCCGAAGCCCGCCCTGCAGCAGATCGGCCCCGTCACCCAGCAGCTCGAGCTGAAGAAGGACGTGGTCCCAGTGCGGTTCTGCAACCGTCGCCAGAAGGACAAACGATCAAGCAGGGACCATTCTCAACGAGAGGATTTTGAACCTTCCGGGCCTCCTTTCTTAGGGGGACTGGTATCCTGTCCTCTGACGCCAGGGCCCCATTTGGCACCCCAGGCTATGCTGGCCCTCACTTCTTCCGTTCCTTTCCCTGAGGGCGAAGCCTTTCCCTCCCTGTCTGTCACCACTCGGACCCCTCCCCTGCATTCAAACTGAGGAGCCTGCCTTCCCAGGACAGGGAAGAGAGAGCGAAAGAACCCTGAGGATTGTCCCAGGGCTCTGGGATTAGGTGCTTCCTTCACTAGGGAACTGGGAACACAGAGGGTGGGGCGGGGGGGCAGGCAGTCTAGGGAACTGGATGGAGGGAAGGTGAAGTTCAATGATGCTCTTGATTTTAATCCCTGCATCACTTATCACTTTGACCTTAAATAAAGAAGCCTGGGGCACCATAAAAAAGAAAAATCAGATCTTGTTCCAAGTGAAGGTAACACTTCTTGGGCTTTGGAATTGATCTTTTATTGACATGTTTTACTGTATCCTAACAACGGCTACATTTAGGCAAACAGAGGCTGTTCTGAAACCCTTTTCCCAGTCCCCAGACCCGTGTCCCCTTACTCCTTGGGCAGCCTGGAACGACTTACACTCTGCATTTTGCCCTGTTGGAACCTGTCAGAGCTAGTCGATGAATAAGTCGAAAGAGAAAGCTTGCTTGGTTTGAGACAAATGACTGCTTTTCAGGGGCCACGGTTCCAGAACAAAGTGCTTGGTTTCCTCCAATTGATGCTAACAGCTGGGCTCCTTGCAGTCAGCCTGGACTCCTCGGTCTAGCGCGGCTGGCTGTATATATGATGACCCTAGCTGTCTTCCCCACGGGGAGAGACAGCTATGTGTAGGGGGTCCAGCCACTGTCAACGAGGAAGCAGCCCGGCGGCCTGTCTGCTTTAGGAAACCGTTTGGCCATTGAAGAAGAGCCACTCCCACAAATGGAATCTCGCGGCAACGAAGAGTTAACAACGTTGCGCAGGCTGACCAGGTGTTTACTGCACGCTGAGATCTCATTCACCCACAGGTGGGCTACGTGCGGATGAGCCACTCACTTGGTCTGGATTTCAGGTTGCTTTTCCTAGAACCATCGGATGGTACTGATGGTATCTACAAAAGATCTCTGTCCTTGGTTTCACCTCTCAGGGGTTCCCCCCTCCAAACCCCACCCCACCCCCACCCCCGCCCCCACCCCCGCCAAAGAATAAGCGTAGCAGGGAAAACTCAGGGATTATCTTAGGAAGGAATTCAATCGTTTATATGAATGTATCACAAAAAGAATGAGCAGCCCATGTGATGCCTCCGTAAAATACATCTCAGATTTGAAAAACGATTGGTACTTAACACCTGTTACCAGGGCTCTTCCATGTAACGCCAGAGTAGGTATCTTATACTAAAATATGAACTATGTACAGTCAAAAGCAATTTTGTGAAAATGCCAGGACAGTCACACATCTGAGCAAGCAGAAGGAAGTACAACTGTTGGCAGTATTTTAACAAATCAGTCCGTGAAGAGTTTGGGAACAAGAAACGATGATGACCGTGCCACCCACAAATGCCAGAGGTGGATCCAAAACAAACTCAGCACGTTCTCGGACTCCCAGAAAGTCTTTATGCGCCACAGAGGATGCAGGCATCCCACGTTTCAGGCAGGCCGGCTTCCTGCCTGATGATACAAACGAGGGGGCTCTCTGCTAAGGTGCGGGCGCGGGGGTCGGCGGGGGGGGAGAGTTATTTAGCGTTGCCCCTGATTGCCGGTCTCTTTCTTATTTTCTTTAAGATATTTTTATCAAAGAGTTCTTTTTCCCGGTAATGCACAGGTGGCCCTTGCAGGTACTTTTCTTCCGCCTTCTTGTAATCTAACCCATCGAGGGCAGCAATTGAGCAAATGATGGCTTCTGGCAGAAGGACTTCCAGAACAAAACTCACTTTGTCATCTCTCGTCAGAGTCAGCGCCTTCTTGTCAATTTGCTTGTAGATCTCTTGTAAATGTCTTACCACGACATCCAGCTGATCTTCATCCTCCAGGTATGTCTCAACGCAGATCACATACCTGCTCGAATTCAGAAACGACACCAGCCACCTGGACTGTTTCCTGCCTTTGACGATGTCCAGAAGGTGGGAGTCGGCCCCCTTTCTTTTCACAATGAAGTCCACGAGCTTCTGGTTGTCTCGGTCCCGAGCGGCCCTCATCCGGTCAGGGAGAATTTTCTTGCAGGGCCTCTTCCCGCCCACGGAGCTCTCGTCCTCAGAATCTTCCAGGTCAGCGTAATTCACCTTTGGGAAATCAATCTCCAGATCCCCCCTCTTGGATGGCTTTCCTCACTGGGTAGCTGATATCGGCAGCGTAGTAGTCCAGGAAAGAACCCGCAAACGACCCACGGCCGAGCCCTTCTCTGTAGTGGGAAATCAGGGAGAAGCACCAGTTCGCGCTCTGCTCGTACACTTTCCTGGCTCTCTTCATCAGTTTCTCTTTCTCTTTGCAATCCAGATGCTTTAATCTCCGCAGAGGCACTCGGATGCCGCTCCGTTCGGGGAGCATGTTGGCATCGATCAGAAGCACCCTGGCGGTCTGCTCTGTGTGGCTGACACTCTTCACCACTGCTGGCCAAAACGGGTGATTCTGAAATTTGAACCAGACCATCACTCCTCTTTCAATGGGACACGGCTCCTGTGGGAAGGCCATGCTTACCGGTGGCCCCGCATCCTTGGCGACATCCTTCTTCAGAGCAGGGGCGGGGTTCATAGCCTGTGAGTCAACTAAAGGTTGAGGTCTTTGCCGTCCTTTCTTAAACTCTGGTGCCCACCGCTTTCTCGTTTTGCTTGCCAGACGGAGCGAATGCCGCAGCCTCGGGTTGGGGGCACTGGAGGATGCTGCCACACCTTTGGAGCCTGGCTTCCAGGCTCCCTCTCCAGGGTCCTCAACGTTCCGGGAGATGGTAGAGCACTCAGAGGAGACAGCCGGGGTCTTCGGGCGGGGGCTGCATGGCGCCTTCCTTTTCAGAGCCTTGGGCACAGTGGCGATGGAACCGGGTGGCAGAGATGGAAGGACACATCCATTTTTAGCACGTGTGCCGTACTCCTTGACGGTACGATGCCAGGGCATAACTTTTGAGGCGTCCGTCTTTTCCTTGCGCTCTTTCTCAGGGTCACCTTCTGATGCAAGCAATGGGAAGTTTGGGCACATGCGGGAGCGCTCTGAGGACTTTGCTCGCGTCTCCCTCGGAACAGGAGCGGCAGATGTGGGTCCCTGTGATTTGACACCGTCGGCGGTGCCCTCGGCCTGTGAACACACCAGCCGTGATTTGGGGGTTTTACTCTTGCGAAGGCATCTCAGTGAGTTCCCTTTGGGCTTCCGATACCTCTTACGAGGTCGCTTTTGTGGCCCCTTCTGAGACATCGTAGTGATCTCTGGATCGTCTGATGCTCTCGACGGATCCAAGTTGGATCTCTCTTTCAGGATCTCCAGGGCCAGTGTAAGAGCCCTTCTGTGGGCCACTCCCTCTCCTGGTGGGACTCTGGCCTTCGGCCGGGCCACTCTCGAGGAGGAAATGGACTCAAGTTGAGACTCATTTAGGATCTTTACTTCTCTGCTTTTCACTTTAAGTTTTTTGCCCACTGTGAGTATTTCAACCTGCAGACAGCATGCCCTTTTCCTCTTATCTCTCGGTGAGGTTTCAGATCTGGACAAGACCCTTGCTGGCCAAAAGCGGCCTTTCCAATTGCATAAGACGTACTCGGAGTCCATGATGACTGGACTCGGGTGTGGAGAGGTAATTAACAGAGGTCGAGGGCTCTGGCTGTCATACCCACAGCTACAGCAGCTTTCCCCTAAGGCAATGTTCTTCACCACGGCTGTTTGCCTAGGACTCGAGAGGCGGTATCGCGTGTGTGGCCCGTTCTTCTCTGCCTGAATCTCCCAGAAGTGTTGGGGCTTGTGTTTTGACAGACTAAACTGGAGAATACTGGAAGATGGAAAAGGAAAAGAAGGAGGGTATCAGAAAGCGTTCCTTTTGTGTCACAGACTGGAGTGGGGAGGAGGGCAGGATACAAGGCAACTGTGTGGGAAAAAGTACGGGAGATGACAGAAGAGTTTTACAGCCCCCTGAACCCGGCTTTGTGTCCTCTTTGTTACTACTGCCTAATAAAGAGCATCTGTGCGGGGAGGTGGGTGTCACGTCCGGGATCTCACTCGTGTTATTGGACATCCTGGGCCTTGGCTGCTCCTTGGGGCTCGTCCTAGGGGAACGCTTCAGCGTTTCTCTTCTGGTGTGCCAGCACCCAAGGAAGCCAGAGACGACCTCCGACCCACAGACCCTGGGCGTCAGCCCAGTGCCACGTTCGAGAGCGTGAGCTTAGAATCCAGAGGTTCATGAGGCTCATGTGGTTGTTCGAGGCATTCCCCTTCGTAAGGATTGCTGCAGGCATGGGCCATTGGCTGGGAGGCGCAGCTCTTCGTTTCTCCATGCTGGCTTAATGGCCCCCCCCCCCCCAGCCCCCACCCCGCTCCACCTCCAAGCGCCAAAGCAGTGGGAAGTAGTGACTGCGGAGTGAGGAGCAAAATAAAACACACCCCAAGTGTCAACATGAAGTAAATGATTGCAGGTGAAATGTGTAGTAAAACGGGGAAGTCTTACCGAGTGCCAGGAGGACCGTGGTAAGGTGGGGTTCTGTGAGCAGGATCTGTTGATCCGTAAACTCCAACTGCTTGTCGGGCAGACCCTCTACCCTTCTCTCGCTTTCTGAAGTGCACTGTTCTTCCGGGGATAAAATGTCGATACCCGGGCCTATGCACCTCTGCGTTAATCTAGAACATCCGAAAGAGACAGGAAATTAAACCAAGTAAATGGGGACTGAGTCGTCACGTCCCCTTCCCCAACTCTGGAATGCATGCCATTCTCAAGCAGGGATGTTAGTTAAATCGCATCTATAATGTGGATGCCATGCTCCTTTTCTTCCTCCTCTTGTGTTTCAAAATATGTCCACCTCCCGCTACTTAGTTGATGCGAGTCCCTCCTATTCCAAAGCAGTGGGAACTACTACTTTCACGATAGTCCCCTTCTTCCCTGGACACATAGATTCGTTCAGAGTAGCAGCATGTGTGTGTGAGTGTGTGTGTGTGTGTGTGTGGTGTGTGTATTGTGTGTGGTGTGTGTGTGAGACCCAAACATGGGGTCTGTAATGTTAGTGCGTGTTGTTCTGTCCGTCTAAGGAAGCACTAAATGGGCTTCTGGAGGGAAAAAGATGTGTAGAGCGCTATCTGCAGGGGTCGACACAGTATAGGTGCTCGCTCTCAATATGACGGGAAATGGGCGTCCCGCCCATTTCCTACGCATCCATATGTACATACCTGCACACATGGCCTAGGGTTGCATTTCTTCACTCAAGAGCATCGTTGATCACCGTTTCATGTGAGTGCCTGTTTTCACACCGTCCCTGTGAATCTGTTGACGATGTGGGTCTTCCAAAATTTAAAAACTTACAGTAAATTTCAGACATTTAGTTGTGTGGAATGCAGTTGCAATCGTTCTCTCAATCCTCCCCTTCCCACCCAGAAATACCCTGTTCATAGGTTCTACTTTTCTGTATACACTGGACAGGCATGCAGGATAATTCACCTATAGGTTTCAGCTCACATCCATTATCAGTCTCAAGCGATGTTCTTCAGAAGATGAAATATTACTTCTGTAACAAGAGCCTGCACGTACAGCTTTGCTCACACATACTCAGAGATATAATATGAACGATGCCATGTCTAACTGTGCATACTTTGGACATAACCTGCGCCACCTTTGTCTTGGACTAGGGTGAATGGTCACGCAGGTTTCAGGTTCTCTGTCTTGGAGAACTCAGTGTACTTGCTCAGAGCACAGAACAAAGGGGGGAAGGAAAAACAGGTGACTCAGTCACCGCAGCCTCTCTGCAGCGAGACCCATCACACAAAACAGGAGTGTCCGAGTCTCCTCAGCTCCAACCAGAGAACAACTGACCTCCCAAGGCCCGTGCGCGCGCACACACAAGCACCGAGAGTGACATGAGAGACGCAGGTGCCCGATGTTGGTGCATGCAAGCCATGCTCTCTGCCTCCACGCACACATGCACATATTTCCGCTTCTAGTGTAGAGGTTATTCTCAGCTCCTTTGAGTTCCTTATTTTAAAAACACACAGGGACGATCTAAACGGAGGTTTCCAATTAGAAGCTAGGAAAAATACTGAGCGTCGGTAGTCTGACCCAACACCTAGGAAGGCTTACGGAAAATATGCACTGCACGGACTTTAGACTTCTTATTCTGTTCATACCTATATTCCATAACGTAGAAAAGAGGCTTTCTGTAATTGTGCAAACACTCTGAATAGTCTCTCACATTCCCATCGGTGTACCTCTTTTCAAGTATCAAACACTTTAGTGGACCACTTTCAAGAGACAACCAAAATATCAGCCTCAGTTCTTGTTCCAGTCACTAAAACAACACATCCTTAAGCGAGACAATCACGAGGGAAGGGTGTTGAATGAAAACAATGAATGGCTCTCCCATCATATGCTTTGGTCCAGGGTCCAAATATCTCCCATTAAGGGTTGGTGCATAAAGTTGCATATGGTTTTCTTTTCATATTTTGTACTAACAGGAGTACAACTCTCTGCTCTCTCTCTAAAGATGTGTACGATAAGTGGATAGATCCATGATAGCTGATAGATAGATACATAGATACATAGATAGATAGACAGATGATAGCTAGATAGATAGACAGGTAGAATCGTACGTAAATATCAATCCTCTTTTGCACACCAGGCCCAATGTGTTAAAACCAGAACATTGAACAACACCAAACTCGCATTTAAAGTAACCCCCAATTCCCGGAGGGCTTGCATGTGAAAATGCTTCCAATGTCTTAGTTTGCAATCAAATCAAACATGCCCAAAGAGAGAGAATACGCAGAAGAAAACAGCAGGGGGCAAGATAAATAGCAACTCCACAACCTCTAACTTCATAGTCAATTTCAGGCCATCGGGAAATACAGTTCTCAAATGGACTAGCTTTGCTTTTTCTGGTCCTGGTATAACTTTTGTTCCATTCCATCTGCTCTTTGCTTGAGCATACAGCAAAGTTGATGGCATAGAACTTTCACTTCCCCACTCAACAACCACGATTTTTGGAAGAATTATTTGGGAGCTCTGTTCTTTCGCTCCTTTTCCCAGCGAGGGCTGTAATTACTTCTGAAGAAAAAAAAGGAAAGAAAACAACGCTCCGAAGGTGTCGCCTCCAAATGAGAAGAACACTTTGTCTGAGAGAGCCCCCCGGCATCACCCCCGCCCCAGGCAGAGACGTTCTGTCACCTTCACCCCAACTCCCCCTCCTTACAATTACTAGCTCTTTCGTGGAGCTTCTTTGAAACTGTAGGTTTTGTGATTTTTAACTCTCCCCCAAACATGTATTCCCATAAGAGCATGAGTGGGCAGTTCCCTTTGTTACTCTAGAGGCACACTTTGTAAACTTTCTGTTATGGAGAAATTACGTTCTTGCCTACTTTTGCACCTCTCCATTGCCAGATGAATTAAGCATAAACTTTCACACGTAGGTTTTTTTGAAGCGTGGCATGCACTCACAGTGCAGATATTGTCATAAGAAATTTAAACGTGGACAAGCAGAAAAAATGGTGAAGAGTCTGAAAAGACAAATTAAACTTCCATGGACTGTCTGAATTGCATTGTTTGAATTCTTTAACCACTGTTTTATATATTCTTTTAATTGAAATTTTATTCTGAGATCAATAAAGATCCACAGTTGGCTGTAGGAAATAATAGTAAGCATCAATAATAATAATAATAGTAGTAAAGATTTCGTTGGGCTTTAATTCTGTTTGTAGAATGATTGAGTGAGATTTGCTATCTTGGAACATTTGTTCCTATGCTGTCCTCTAGCTGCATAGATGCATAGATGGCACGCCTACCTGGAGGTCTGGGTTGTTCTTACACATACTCTTTAAATGACAAATATTGCAACCTGAGAAAAACGTGAACTGCCCTCAGTTTTCTCAAAGGAATAAAAAACAGTGGATTCCTTCCTCACCTGCAAGTAACACGCTCTCACTCTAAAGATACATACACCAACCAATGACCAAGCTCTGCCTCCCAATTCCTCCTTAACAAACAAGCAGGAACTCGCCTCTTAGAGCCATCTGAACGCAGAGAAGGAGAAGCATGAGCACTGGGAGCAAAGAGCTACACGGAGATCAAAGTTTCCCATCACCGCCTTATCGTAAGACGAGAGCGAATTCTCTCCCATTCCTTTGGCAAACACTGGTGGCTCCTCCCGTCCAGTAGACCAACCTAATTTCAGAGATGCTCTGGCAACCCTCCGGTCCCTATTGCCTGCCACGGGGAGACCTTCGATAGCTTCTATAACACGAATGGATTCACACACGGCGTTAGGGTTAAGAAGCCAGGCGCAGCCTCCACTTTTTTGCAGCTGAGACCTCCATTATTACTAACATCAGGAGGCTGAACGAGGTGTATAGTTCAGAACCTAGCGATTTCGCTGTGTTGTGCACAAGGAGAAAAAGGTGCCCTTGTTCACGGGATAAGTCATCGCATTGTAGCTCATCGCAGCAGCGTTGGACATATGCCAGGTGCTTGCAAGCCACGGAGAAGGACTACCAAGTCTATCGCCTAAGCCAACAAGGGTATGTTATGTATTCAGCGCAAAGACCGATGTAGACCCTCATGTACTGACATTGGAAGAAATCAG